AAAGAGTGTGCGGAACAGTGTGGACCTCAGCCCACTGCCTTATCAACCCTGAAGACGACCCTCACCGTTGGAGGCAGCCTAGAAGAACGTAGCCTTTGGAGACAGACCTAGAATCATCTCCCTGTCGCCACATACAGGTTGCATGGCCCGGAGCAAGTCACTTTAACATCTGTGCATGCACCCAGATTTCTTCATTTGGCAACTAGGAGTAACAACAGCAGTTGATGACAAAATTAAATAACTCAGTAAACACTAACCGTGCCTGGCACTCAGTAGGCATTCAGTCAAGACCGGTTGCCCATCCACTCACCTCCAACGATCTATGGAAGTGGGCCCAGTTCTAAAATTCTATGAGCATGAAAATGCTTTTGCGATGGCATGTGCTTCACCAAGAATAGAACATTTGGCTGACTTGAAATGCAACCCCTTTCGGGCAGACAGGGCTACTCTCCCAGGGAGCAGTAGGCCTGGAAGAGATGTGAGAAGCGATCTAGCCAGAGAAGGAAAGTGGTATCTGTAGCAATGTTAAATTTTTTTCCAACACATTTCAGAATCATAACAAGGTAAAATGGAGCTTCCTTTATGCCGTTCACCCAGCTGAGTGTCCAATGGTTCAAGTTTCACGGAGTGTGACCAAATAACCCTTTGAAGGCCAATGGGACTGGACCAGAAAACACTGCATAAAATCTGTCAGGGACTCCTGAAGCCCATTCCCCATTCTGAAGGTGTGGAAGTCCTAGAGAACAAACAGAAATAGCCTCTCAATTCTGAATTTAGCTCCAGACCCTTTGGGTCTGCCTTTGAGAGAACCCACACCCATGGTGTTCCAGGGTGAAAGAGGAGAAAGAATCCTTTGCCATTGCTATATTTTTCATTCAGTTGCCATGTTATCTAAGAAAAGTTCACCTCAACATTTATTTATTCTTCTCAATTCCCTTCCATCTTAAGAAAGAAAAACTCACTCTTCGGTAGCAAAGGATTTTTGTAAGTGACCCCCATAATTGACTATTTAAAACAGTTTGGGCTTCTAGAGAGCTTTAGATCTGTTGCCAGTGGGGTGTGTGTGGGGGTGTGTGTGTGTGGGTGTGTGCGTGCATGCGCGTGCACACGCACAAGCACACACACTTGGTTCTGTGCCACTGTTTTCCAGTTATGTCTTTAAATAGTTCTGCTTGGTGGCCATACATGTGTTTGCACGCATGCTAGGAAAAAAGGCCTGGCTCAATACAGGTTTGTTCCTGCTTGTGTTTGCTAGAAGACACTGAGATGTCTTGTTAGGTCCTAAAAGGCACAAAGAGGCTCCTGAGATCTGGGAAGATTTCTCCTTTGTTCAGAGCCACAGAAAGCAGCTGTTAGAAGATTGCAGATGGACTTACTGTTGTACGGACTGATTTTTCCCCCATGTCAGGAACAGAGGTTCAGCCAAGAGTAACAGAAAAGGATGTCCATCCAGTTCAGGAACTCTGAAACCCGATGCCTTCATAGAAGCGGATAAAGCACAGAAGGAGCCCAGACAGAGGAGGAAGAACATGCACGTCTCCTTTGTAGCTCCGGGTGGCTTCAGTAATGATCCATTACCACCTGCAGCACTCAGAACTGCTGTCTTATTTGTCTCTGGTGTCTGTCTCCTCCCATCTGCTTTGGCTCTTGCCATATTCTTTTGAATCATATTATTTCATTGTATAAAGCATTTCTGTGGGAAGCCATTTAGGAGACAGAATGGACTCATTTTTGCCTTCAAGTTTAGTAACCTGTCAAGAATGATGATTTGGTGAGGCTTGGCCTAGGATAACCAGTGATTAGGACGAGGCTATAAAGTACATTTCTGAAAGCAAGAGAGTGCCTTGTTGGAAAGAGAAGGAGGGAGAGGGTGTGCTCCCACTCACATTCTGGAGTCCTAAAGTTCCAGGACTTTACTAAAGTGGAATGGCACTAAACTCGCCTGGGGCCCCTCAGCAGGGTTTCTTAACCCCTGCTAAAGTCCTCGAGGTCCCTTGGGAGATATAAGGCAGCAGTGACCAGAGCAGATAGTGAGCTCTGTTTATTCTCTTCTTGTAAAATCAGTGATTCATTTAGTTTGTCATTTTCATCATTCTGTATCCTTAGGGGACGTTGAAAACAATGGGCTTTGGAGCCTCTGCTGTTGGTTCTTGAATCCTGGCTCCACCCTTCCTAGCCTGGTGACTTTGGGCAAGTACTTCACCTCTCTGTGCCCCACTTTCTTTCATAAACTTTGGATGACAGTGATTGTGCTTCCCTTATGGGGTGCTATAAGGAGCAAATGAATTAAAATACATCGGCTAGTGCCTGGCATACACTTAGCTCTTAATAAATGTTTGCCATAGTTATTCCAGGAGCCCATTTAAGAACTTTTCTCTAAGGCACTATCTTATTTTCTAAGTCCTGTCGTCAGAAGTCATGATCACAGATTCAGAATTCGTTTTCATATAGACTTTCTTTTCTAAAATAGTTTTAGATTCACAGCAAAACTGGGCAGAAACTTCCTATTTATCCAACGCCCCCAACACATGGAGCTTATTTATTTTTGTCTTTTTTTTTTTTTTTTTTTTAAACTAGCAACATCTACCACTTGGTGAGAGAAACTTATCATTGGGATATTCTCACCAAAAGAGGGTTCTGACTACTGAGTTAAGGTTTTTGAAACTAGACCTCATCATCTTAATCGCTGTGAAGGAAATGAGAAAGGACAGGGCTGACAGAATAGTGCTAAAAGCTGCGGCCGGGACATCCATGAAATTCTCCTGAAGGCCCAAGATGGCACAAGCTCTGAGGAATCCAAAATTGTCACTTTATTGCCACACCCAGTGTTGCTTGTGTGTAACTACGCAGTGAGTTCAGAATGCCCCATGGTCAGGCCTCCTGGCCAGCTTCTCACTAATAATAGAGATAAAGTTTGTTTGGAAATTCTAAGTCCCAGCATGCAATAGGATAAACTATGATGAAATTCAAGAGTTCGGCTCCTTTTCTAATTGGAAAAGCTTCCTGCTGGCTGTTTGAAATGGTGATGAATGATAACCTTGTCTATGATTCAGGCTATAACTTCACATGTAGGCTATAAACCTACATGTGAAGTTATCTATAATAAAATCATAGGGTGCTTTTATGCCCACGGCAGTCTTGGTTTATGCCTGTTGCTTTGGCGAATTTTTAATAGTGCCTCCTTTTCACTCTCAAATGGTCTGTTTGGATGATAAATTATGTGGTAATTCTTACACACATAGGATCCAGCACTGCTCATGAAACAACACACACACACAGTTGTTTCAGTCTTAGATACATACAGGGTGTTAGACAGGTGGTTGGCTAAAGATGACTTCTTAGTCACCATGGATTCCTCTTCCTGATGTCATACTTAATTACAGTAATAAAAATCGAGTTCTTCATGCTGTTCACTCAAAAGGAGTCAATAAAACTAGTACATTAAATAAGGGCATCACAACCCATTCTTTCATAATTTCCTGTTATTGAACTATTTTAAAGCCGTTTACATCCCCAGAGATCCTGATATTGTTTTACCATATATGTGAATTAATTAACAAGAGAGTAAGTATTTTTACTGAACAAGACATATGGTACTAGGAATAGGACCATAAAGCAAAAGTCTTGCCCCTATCTAGGACAAAGGCGACATACTTGGAGAGATAATTAGAAGGACTGAGCAGTAAGCAACAGAACATTATCAGTGTGATGAACAATTGTTCGGAGGAGGGAACGATTTCTTCTGAATTAGATGCCTGGAGATTTGAGCTGGTCCTTGAAGGTCCATAGGACTGAAATTGGGGTGGGGGTGGCGTGGCATTACTGGTGGGTGAGGACAGCAAGAACACAGGTCTCTAAGAGAAAGAATAGAAGTTGGTTTGTCTAGAGCAGAGTCCAAGAGGAGAATCGGTTGGAGAGAAGATGAAAAGGTAGATCGGGTCAGTGACAGGGGCCAATTCATGTCTTCATTTGAGTTAATGGCTTCCTCTTAGCTGCCTGAGTGTGTGGATATCCTAGCACAATGTACAGCCGGCTCCAGCATCGCATATCACTTCCATAGTTTTGACTCTGTCTCTTCTCTATCTGTTTAGTACAGTCATGTGCCACTTAATGACAGGAATATATTCTGAGAAATGCATCATTAAGCAATTTCGTCACTGTGCAAACAGCGCAG